GATGCAGATAAAATGCTTAGCACTCTACTTTGCACATAATAAGTATTTCATAAATGGCACTATAGAGACCATGATGATGATGATTCTGGGTGATCTCCAATGGCCAGTCAGCTTTGGGTCTTTGTGGCTCTAAAAAGCCCCATCAGGCCTTGTTCAAGTATCAAGATAGTCTGCACAGAGCTGTGCAGACTCTGTAGGCACTGAACACACCACGTATCTATAGGTAAGCAGGTCTGGTCAAGGGGGTAAGTAGGGACTGAAATTGAGCCTTGACTTTGCTCACCTATGCAGGGGTACTGCCTCCTCTTGAAGGAAGGGGACTTTATTCTAATGTTCAGAAAGGTGCCAAGTGGATTACTGGTACCCTCGTAGGGGCTTTCATCATGGTATAGTGAGGTCATCAGGAACACAGGCTTTGGAGCCAGACATCCTGGGATCAGAAACTAGCCTTGCTAGTAACTTGTTGTATATTCTTGGGTGAGCTATCTAGCATCTCTGAACCACAGTCTGTCATTTTAAAGTGGGAAAGTTAAAGCTAACTGCTACCTTTCAGAGTAGTGATGAGGAGCAAATGAGATGATGCAAATAAAGCGCTGACTCTTGGGTTCCCAGTGGTCCAGTGGCTATCGTAGAAGGGAGTGGGAGGCCTGAACATCAGCCCATAGATATGGCAGTACTCCTTTCCCAGGATTCCCAATTTAGCAGCTGACTGGGGAGCATTTGACCTAGTAGCTGCTCTGTGCCTGGCTGTCAGGGTTGTTAAGACTTTTGAGTATCACCCCTATTTATGACCTTCCTTTTTCTTGTCTAGGACAGAGGTCAGAAAAGTCATTTGGGGGCCAGGTGCAGTGGCTCATGCCTGTAATCTTAGCATTCTGGGAGACTGCTGATTCAGGTGGATTGCCTGAGCTGAGGAGTTCCAGACCAGCCTGAGCAAGAGGGAGATCCTATCTCTACTAAAAATATAAAAAACTAGCTGGTCATTGTGGCAGATGCCTATAGTCCCAGCTACTCTGGAGTCTGAGGCAAGAGGATCACTTTAGCCCAAGAGCCCAAGAGTTTGAGGTTGCTATGAGCTATGACACCATGCACTCTACCGAGGGCTACAGAGTGAAACTCTGTCACAAAAAATAAAAAAGTTTAAAAAATTAAAAAACAAAGTATTTGGGGGGCATATGAAATGGGGTATGTGTCAGGGGAAGACCATTGAGAACTGATAGTTTGTGTGATACATGGGAAAAGAACATTTTTCAGGGAATTGTATGAGGGACTCCTGATGAAGAATACCTCTAAGGACATGTGTGATCCAGAGCATTTGGAAGATGCTCCCAAGGAGAGCAGGGAGTTCCCTAGCTTCATGGAGGGTGGATGAGAAGGGCCCAAGGGTTCTGCTTTCAGGTCAGTGGGCCTGGATCTGCGAACAGACCTCACCCGTTATTACCAGGTCTGTGTAACTTTGGATGCCACTGTATAGCTCTGGAAATCAAATCTTCAACTGAAAAATGGGTACCCAAGGCCCTGGACATCCCACAAGGGACAGCCACTGTGATGTGGTTTCTGTGCTGGTACCTGTCATAGCTTGCATTTGGGTTGCTTGCTATTGCCTTTGGATGAGGCTCCCAGCAAAGTTGAGGTAGAGGGCCAGGTGCAGTGGCTCACACCTATAGTCCTAGCACTCTGGAAGGCAAGGCGAGTAGATTGCTTGAGTTCACCAGTTCAAGACCAGCCTGAGCCAGAGTGAGACCCCGTCTCTACTAAAAATACAAAAAACTGAGGCAAGAGGATCACCTCAGTCTGAGTTGGAGGTTGCTGTGAGCTATGATGTTGCCATGGCACTCTACCCAGGGCAACAGCTTGAGACTGTCTCAAAAAAAAAGTTGAGGTAGGGTTTGAAATTCTCCCCTTTTTAAGCCAAAGTCCCTAAGCTACCAGGTCTTTTTTTTTTGAGACAGAGTCTCAAGCTGTCCCCCTGGGTAGAGTGCTTTGGCATCACAGTTCACAGCAACCTCCAACTCCTGGACTCAAGTGAGTCTCCTGTCTCAGCCTCCCAAGTAGCTTGGACCACAGGCGCCCACCACAATGCCCGGCTATTTTTTGGTTGCAGCTGTCGTTGTTTGGCGGGCCTGGGCTGGATTCAAACCCACAACCTTAGGTGTATGTGGCTGGTGCCTTAGCCACTTGAGCCACAGGCACCGAGCCAGATACCAGGTCTTAATAAGGAGTAGCACCCAAGCTGCCTTACTCTTGGTTTGGTGGCCTTTCTAGTGCCCTCTGGGGACTGGAGAAAGTTGGTGGTGTGTGTTTGAGTCAGGGGTTACCTGGGCAGCTGGGTCAGAAACCCCATCTAAGATTTATGGGGCTTGAGGTATGTAATGTGGTCCTCTCCTAATTTGAATATCTACCAAATTAGCTTCAGTAGGCTCAGCACCTGTGGCTAAAGCAGCTAAGGCACCAGGCACATACACCTGAGCTGGTGGATTCAAATCCAACCT